TTAGCAGACATGGTATGAAAATAATGTTTATTGAAATCGAATTAAATAAGACAAAGAATTTCTATTGAAATGTTAGAAAGAGATAGAAGTATATAATTGACATAATATACCTACATTATTATTATGTTTATTTTATTACGTATGAATACAAAAATTATGCATAATAAAATGTTAATAATGAAAATTCGCCATCTGACGGTAATTATGTAATTATTATTAGTATAGGTCAATTTCTTTTCAATTGCTTTTTCTCTGGAATTTGTCACTCTCACACATTATAAAATTGCACCTATTATTTTTGTTATGTCATAAATTAATATCCGCATATACATGCTTGTAAATTTTGAGTGTTATTTTGTTATTGAAATGAAAAATTTAATAAAAATTTGAGAGTTTAAATTAAAGAGAGAAATAACGGAATTATCTGGAAATATTTCTTATTTAATTTGCAAAAGAAATTAAATAAACTAGATTCAAATACCACGTTTAATTTTTCAAAAGAATTTTTAATAAAATTGCACACACGTTTTATAGAAATTCATATGAAAGTTTGGCTCCTTCCCTATAATTTTAATTGATTTCATTAAAAGAATTATTTGAAATTTTGTAATTAAAATTTTCATGATCGTAATGAATTATTTTAAGGCAATTAAAATTAATGCCAACAAATTACTATAATTTTGCCACTCGATTGAATGCGGAATAACTATTAAATTGTGCCCCACAATGTAGCAAACTTTGAAATCATTTTTTTTAACCTAGACGACCTAGAGTTTGAATAGTAAGAATCTTATATAATAAAACATGTTTTACTATAAGTAAACAATTAGAGCATTTTAAAATTGTTCCAAACTTAATGCCAATATGCGGCTAGAAATACCTTTTTTTTTAAAGATTTCTTCAGTCAAATTGTTTTAATTCCATTTTAGATTAATTTCAAGTTCCAAATAATTTTAATTAATCACAAATTTACAATAATATTGAGAGTAGTTCATTGCTAAATAATTTCAATTTAAGTATGTTGTCCATTTTAATTCTAAGCTAAAATAGTTAATATTGGTTAATTTTTTTTATAAATTGTGGTTGTAGATATTGCTTTCCTGCCAACTAAGTGGTTATTCCTTTGTTGTTAACCAAGTTAAGCAATAATTAAAGAAATACTTAACAAGTTTTTCTAATTTCGTTTTAAGTTAATGAATGGGTGTGGGATTTTCATTAATAAAATGTATATAATTTAAATGATTCATTGAATCAAGAACACAGTAGAGTGAAAATTATTGCAAAAGTAATTGTGAATTACATTTTATTTTAATTATAGTCATTAATCGGAATAGTTTCGAATTTAAATGATGTTTCATGCATTTATAATGTGTACTCATTTTTCAACAAGATTAAATTGTTAAAATTTAACCAAAGTTACAAAAATAGCCAAAGAAATTTTTAATTTAAATACTTCAAGTTTTTCTTTTTCCTTTAATTTTGAAAATTTTTATTTACATTCAGAATTTCTGTAAAATTTTCGATGAAGGTATTATCTCAAAATTTTTTCGATAAGTTTTATAACATGTTTTGACAATTTATCAAAATTTTTGTGTATATTACCAGTCTAAGGCAATAACCCCATGTAATACGGTAAAAAAACGAAAAAATTTCCTACCTCATGCGTAAAGTTTCGAGAGTCGTTTTCATAACGTCAAAATGTTTACTAACGAGAAAATAGAAATACGAAAGTAAGTGCTGTTCTAATCGCTTCAGAGAATTCCATATTTCAGATGATTTTTACGCTGAAAATGATGGAAAAATTATTTAAATTTGATACATATCATTAAAAGCGCATGCCATTAAAAATGTTGTATAAAATATGCCTAGTGTTTCTATTACATAACTCTTTTCTTCAAACTGTCATTCTTTTCCATGTGATTTATGTATCTTTATTGCCTCAATTGTTTTTTTAATTTTGGAAATTGCTATACGTATAATAGCAACATGTAAAGAGCAAATTAAATTTTCTATTATTTTTTCGTAAGCGATCAATTACAATTATTCAAAAATTATTCATAGAATTTTTTAAAATCACATACTGTGCGCTACGAATCCGTGATATATGATTTTGTTACAGCATAATCTTTTTACATTGTATTGTTATTTTTGAATATTTTTAAATTTTTACCTAAACGATAGATGTCTGAATGAATGATAGCGATTAATTGATTTCACTCAAACCGAAAAATTGAAATTTTTTTTTATATCTATTATTTTCGCAAGAATTAATTTGTTTTGTTAAATGCAATTTAAAATTTCTAAGTTGCAAAAACGCCTAACAACTTTTAATTTTTTGCCGTTTAGGTGCTTTTATACATCAGTATTTTATTCTTAACTATTATACTGTAGAATATGCTATAATTATAATGTATTTATATAGACACATCCTTCAGGTGACCACATTTCAATCATTTAATGTCAGCCGAAAAAAAGCAAAATTGTACTATAAAATTAAGATCACTTTTAAAGTACGATGGCGTTTTCATTACGTTTTGGTATTTCGAAATTATTTATCAAGAATTACGTATATGCAATCAACATGGTAGGTCTACTCTACAATAAAAAAAAAACAAAAATAACATTAAATAAAAAATGATAAACTTTTTCTTGTAACTACTTACTTACATACCTACCTACATTATATATCGCACTTGTGACGGGACGCATATGTCCAGGCGTCGTTGTTGTTGCTTTCCTCGTTATTGTGATATTTCGTTTTAGTTGTCAAATAAATACTCTTATTTTCGTATCCAACAACAGGTAATCAAAAATGTCGTGCAGGTATTTTCGTATAAATTAAAAAGTTGGCAAAAAAAAATTGTTTTTCTGCTTTTTTTTTTGATTTATTATTAATGATTTTTTTTTTATTTTTTGTTTATTACTTTTATATCACTATTATGCATTTAATCAATATTATAATACAAGTTATTAAGTCAAGTTATATAGAGGACCTACATATTATTATTAAATTCATTTTTCAAGTGAATTGAAAGCAAAAAAACAAAAAGTTCGAGAAATTCATAATAGCATTAATGATTCATTTTTCTCGCTTGAATAGACAACATTTTTCAAAAATGGGCAATCTTGTATTTAACTAATTATTTTTTAATAAAAGCAAAACTCAAACTGTAATTTTTCGAGCTTACAACTTTTAAATAATTGATGAGATTTCTTAAGTCATATACAAATATATAACAGAAAGAAGTGTAAGAGTAAAATAAGGACGACTAAATTATAGTTGGAATGTTTTAAGTGGAGGGATCAGATCTGGAGTTTAAAATGTAAAAATCTCGTGTTTTTGAATTTATATGCAGGGATTCGAATCAAAATAATAAATTTTATGAAATCAGTTCACCCATTTGTGTCTTCTTCCATTTGTGTCTCCATTCACTTATAAAAATTTAACCGTTATTAAAAATATAAAATATAAAATTGATACTCCTTTCCCAATTCAAAAATGTTCGTATTATTTGAACTTTTCTATTAATTGAAATTTTTGTATTAAATCGGGTCCGATTCGAAGGGTTCATATTGTATCACTTTTTTGCACATTTCGATCAAATTATTACCAGTTGCATGTTAAATATTACTTTCCAATGGATATTTGATGATCGATATACTTATTTTCGACAGTCAATTAACCGGACTAGTAAATATTTATAAAATATTAAATAAAAACGCGCTCAAATAGCAATTATAAACAACGTTATCGAACCGTTGATTGAAATTTAGTTTTTTCACTGTGAACTAGCAGACCAAAAGACTCACTTTAATGTGGAATGTTGCAACGAATCACGAGTCAAGCATTGACTCTTAGAAAAGCAAGCCGTTAAGAAAGCGACTCTTTAAAACGAAAAAATTTAGTTAAAATTGAATTAAGATATTTTGAAATTATATTTCAAATTATAATTAAATAATGTCAAAAAATTTTTAAAGTTACAATATCTTGTATTTTATCGGAGACTATAAGCTACAGACAGACTATTTATTTTATAAAACTTAAATTTTTTCTAATAAAATAATTAATGCACCTATCATTTGAATTTTTCGATATTTACTAGAGACAAATTTAATACTTTTAAAAAAAGATTTTTCAAATCGACTTTAAAGACAAAACTCATTTCTGATGATTGCTTTGTTAAATGATATTTTATTACCTTAAATAGTTGTTATTAGGCTGATAAAATATGTGATACTTTTAATGAAAAGTGAAAAATACAAAAAAAAAAAAAATAAAAACAACAAAATTTTTCTTCTTATGCATTCTTTTTTTTTATTTTATGAATTTTTGAATTGATTTTTCATTTTAAAGCTGGGAGTTCAGCGTAACATATGAAAAATACAAGAACAAAAAGTAGAAAAAAAAAACAACAAATTTCGTATTTTTCTTTTTGTTGCCCCAAAAGATCAACAATTTTAGAGCTTTTAAAGTTTTCTTACTCAATCAGATCTGTTGTTCTTGTTATTTTGGTTTTTCTTGTTTTGTCTTTTTCCAACTTTAAATTTTCTTCAATGAAAATAAGCAATTTTTTATTTTTATTTGCTTTTCTCTGCTTAAAAATCTACTGATATTTTTTTTACTATTATTCATACTCTTATTACATGTATGAGCTTATACACAATCCAACAACAAATTGTGTTATATAAGTAGTATAACAGATATAACAGATATATGTATTTATATTTACCGTCTTATGGTTATTATTTGTGTGTTTTTATGTGCTACAATATTATGAATAACTTAGAAATAAGTTTTGTATTTTTTGGTGGTATCTTTTGGATTATGAACTCCTCCAATCCGTAACCAATTTTTTTGTTGTTTTTTTTTTTCTGATTTAAGCTTAAAGACATTTTTATAGAATGGGATAAAGTTAAAATTGTAAATATGGGAAAAAAAATTGCATCGATTGTATAAAAGCATGAAAAGTCAATTGAAAATTTTTAGTTACGTGATTTTATTGCAAAGTGTAACTTTATATTCGTTTAAAAAAAAACGCCAAAAAATTTTGTAAATTTTCGGTTCTAACTCAAGAAAAAATAGAATTTCGCGAATTTATTTATTTGCATTTTTAGTTCATTTTGCATTTAGTGAAAAATTAAATTTTTTTTTCGTAAAATAATGGAATCAAAGGTGAATTTAATAAAAAAAAATATTGTAGAATTTTTTTAGTGTATATTAAAATAATCATAAATAAAATTATTATAAGGACATTAAAAGGATATTCTTTAATGAGGATTAGAATATTAAAATCATCCTTTAAAGGATGTGTTTAGATAGCAAGTATTGCAAACTCTATATGAAATTATTTTGAAATCTTAAACCTTTTTCAAAATAATTTAAGAATTTAAAAAAAATTTTTATTCAATTTGGGATTACTATATCAAAAAATGCCCAAGTCGAATTTCATAGCTCTTATAATTTCAAAGTTCTATAGTTTAATTTATATTTTGTAAGAACTTGTGTTAAGTTTTTTAAGTTTGTTACCAAAATAAACACTTAAAACTCTTGTTTTTTGAGTTCATTCAATACAATTCAAATTTCTGTGTAATTAATTAATTTTTTAATAAATTATATGAACAAATATACGAATAAATGAATTTAACACAAATAAATCTTGGAAATGTACCAAAATCGTGGAATACTAAATAATGACGAAAGAGTACTTAAATTCGATTAATATTTTTGGTATCCTTTATAATTTCATTCAGCATTTCAAAGAAATGTTTTAAAGTATAAACTTAAAAAAATTTTTGAATTTTGTAAAATATTCACTTGGAATATTTCAACAAATTATATCAGAAATTCTAAAATTAAATATCATGTTTTGAAAATTTTAAATAATTTAATAGGTTTTCATTTAGCTGAATATTTCTTTCCGATTTTGTGATAAAATTTGTAATGTACGAGTATATTACCCAATTTTATATAATTCAATAACTAGTGTTCGTAAGTTTAATAATATTTTAGTCTTGCAAAATTTCAATTAATAAATTAAATCCAAAATTTGTAAAAATGGTTGCAAAACCAGAAAACTATGTAGGTTGACTTGGAATTTTGTTATACGTACCGTATTACTTAATTTTTAAAATTTTTATAAAATCTATTCCTCTATTGTAAGCTCATAAGCGATTATTTCATTATTGTGACAAAAATGTTAACTAAATTTCCTTAAAATAATTCATTTTCAGAATAACGAGATCAATTGAAATTATGAAAGGAATTTATGCTTAAAATTGACAAATATCATATGTGTATCTGGTTAATAATTTAATTTCCAACCCATAATTTTCCATCGATTCCCATTTTATTTTTGTTTTTAAACATAGAACCTTTGTAGTTAATTGTGTGGTTTAATTTCGTTAGTGTTTGTAATTTACATTTAATAAATTATCAGTAATTTGCAAACAATTTTAAAAATATAGAAATTAAATCAACAAATTTAACCATCTATATCACAAATTATATAGATAAAAGTAGGTACTTCTTGTCTTGATTAATTTCTGTAGTATACGAGAAAGAGTATTCGAATAAATGCTTGATAAATTAAATTACTTGAAACTGTACGCTTTATGAATTGATTATTATCACTGACTGAATATATGGTTCTTCTATTCCAATTTGCATTATCTATAATTTGATGATTGTTTGGATTTACTAAAAATTTTCTATAGTTCCTTATTTTTAATACGTTTCGTAGCTGTATTCTTTATTATATTTTATTAAAATTTGTTATAAATTGTTGTAGATCGTAAATATAGATTTTAATTGAATATATTAAAAACAAAAGTGTCACAAAATGATTTTTAATTCAAAAAATTTTAACATGATTACCAAATTTTTATTGATTGCACATACCCTCCTCTATTAATTTACCTGTTTTAATTTGTTAACTCATTTCTTTTGTAATAAAATGTAAAATTGCATTACATGAGAATATTACATTTTTTTTTTGTAAAAGAACTTTCTGAAATTTATTTGCATTGTTTGAAAAATTTCAATTAAAATTTCATAATTTGCATAATATCATGTTAATGTGTACGGAAATCACCTTTGTACCTTCATTACATCTGAGCATATTGCAAAATTGCATAATTAACAAAAATTTTATTAATATTTTTTAACAGTGTTTAAATATCCTTTGTCATTTAAGTATAAAAGAAAAATTCTTTTTAATAATTTTTATTAATTCCGTTAAAAATTTCACCGTTAAAAAATAATTATAAAGAGTTGATACAATCAATTATAGGTTAATCTGTTAAATATTTAAGTTTATGCATGAGAATTTGATTAATTCTTTTAGTTAGTTTTCATTTGCTTCGTTATAATTTCAATTATAATGACTTTAAATTTGTTGTATATTGTGAAAAAGTTTTCTATAGAATGCAAAACTACGTATGACCTCCTGCATTATTTTCTTGAAAATTATTTCTATTTTTATGCAATTTGCAATGTTAGTCATACGGTATACGATAAACAAGTACTGTACAGAAAGCTTGTGCATATTGATTACAAAAAAATTTAGATTTTGTATGATATACAACAAACGAGAACGAAATTTTTCTTAAACTAAAATCATAAACGTATTGGTCTCTTACTAAATTCAAGAACATTTTATGACCTGTATACGATAAATATATACTGATAGGGTAATATTAGCTTCCCGTAATTAACACATTATGAGCGGGTCGGGTACTTGTACCCGCTTGTGTGGATTGTCACTTAATCCTATTATAGGCAATATGGATGTGGAAACTTATTCTAGACATTTTTTTATTCTTATATTTTTTTCAAAAGCTTGTTATTTTTTCAGTAATAGGGCCCTCAAACTTTTTATGTATCCGGATGTATACATTGTATATTCGCCCGCTGTGCAACATTGTTGCCCATGCTAGGCCGCCCGCTCATAATGTGTCAATATGAATTTGAAAACGATAACTTCATATTCATCAACTGCAACTGCAATCCAAACTATCGATCCAGATTAAATTTTATTTGGATGAAATTCAAATTAAATTTTAATTAAAACCTAAATAAACAGTCATTTGCACTATCTAAAATTATGGCACCTCCATTTACAAAATTATGAACTCATACGCAATTTATTAGCGTTTAATCAAGAGAATTATTACATTATTTGTAGTATTATAGCAGCATGCGTTTCTTTTACAAAAATTACTACTATAATTGCATTATAACATTAAATAAATATTTTTTTTTGCAATTATACGTGAACTAAGAAGGTAATCGAATAAATCAGTTCGTTTGTCGCTTGCATGAATCGACTGATCCAATTAAAGTGCCATAATAATAATAACGCTAATAATAATAAAAATAATATTAATATTATTAAAGCAAGTTAATTAAAAAAAATAAAAGTATGTATTTTGATAATAAAGTTAATTGAAATGAAAATTTTATCTGATCCAATAAATGTTTAATTAAATAAAGTTGGCTCAAATCAATGGTTTGTAATGTAGCACTTTTCCTTTCTACAAGTGCAAACACTGCTTCTAATAACAATCTATGTATTCCTACCACACTATTAAAGTTATTTTCATTTATATACGAATATATTTGAAAGATTGCATACATTTAGAATGAAGCATTATTATATTTTTTAATGGCATGAAATTTACCGTTAGAAATTCGGAAAAGCTTACTGTTTCAGTTTTTGTAATTTTACAAAATTTGATGGGGAATGACTTGAGATTAGGTGTAGGTGAGAAAAAAATTTTCCTCTAACGAAATAAACTTTTTATTAGTGTCCAAAAGCTGCAAAAATTTCAGAGTTCTACAACCAGCGATATAAAAGAAAAATTATATCAAAAATTTGTGAAAAAACGGTTTTAAGATAAGAGGTTTAAATATGCCGCTGTAGAGTCAGTCACTGTTTTTCCGCGTTTGTAGATTTTGAAAAATGTTTATGGTTTAGCTGTAATGAATTGTCAAAAAAGTGGGATTTTTAGGTGTCTACGGAAATGAGTTTCTAGTAAAGATCTATGTGTACATATGAAATTTCAGCTTTCTATCTTCAAGAGTGCAGAAGTTTTGTAAGCATGTCCACGGACTGACGAACGGATTGACTGTCGGACGAACGGACAGACGGAAGCTAATAAATAATTTTTCAAAATTTATGAACTTATTAAAAAGAACAAAAAAAAATGGTTAAAATAACACAAAATATGTATATTGCAATGAATACTTGCATTTGCTGCAATGAAGGTCATAAAATTAGTTTTTTCTTGCATTCAATTAATGCATGTTATGCATTTAAAATGGAAAGAAAAAAACAAAAATTCAATGTCAAGTGCAAAATTTCATATTGGTAAGCTCCTTTACATGACATAAAATTATTTCAATTTAAATGGGTGGGTTTAACACGACACTGTGTACCATTAATACAATTATAGGAGTAACATAGGAGTGAATAGCAAAAATTCATATTAAAATTATTAGTTAATGTTAATAAATGTTTTGAATGCATTCTTATATGTTTATATAATGTATAATTAGTATTGAATATGAAACTATTAATTATTTTAATTTATACGATTTAAGTAGTGCTCTATTCAAACTGAACGTACTTACTTATTATCTCAGATTGGTATAGTTATGAATGAAAAAGTCTGACTTAAATAGAATAAAACAAATAAATTAATATTTAAAAATTGTTGTCTATGGTCGCAATGTAATTGAATTTGTTAACTGAATTCAATACTAGCTTGATCTTAATAAGCATATTATTATTAAATAGGATGTTAGAAACAAAATTTGCACACAAAGTTTTCTTTCCGGTGCTGTTTCAATAAAAATTGCGTACAGTATTTGGACATAAAATAAAAAGTGTCTAAATTTTTGTAGTTCTTTGTGGTATTTGAGAGTCCCCACAGTTTTTTTGTTCAAATAAATTTATTTAAATGTGACAATTTAATGCAAATAACTCTTTAGGTCTATGAGAAGTGATCAGATTCTACTACATTCTGTTATAATCATTGTCTTGAATTCATGTGTTTTTTCTAAATTTTGAGTTGAAATTTCGCGTTAAACTTCAGCACTATTGTAGCTGGAATATTTTTTAAAACATGATTTATTAATAATTTTTGTTGAATATCAAAAATAATGGGCCTATT